AATTATTATGTATCAAATAATCAGCTACCCTTATTTTTCCCCTCCAAAAGGTTCTATTGACATTCAAGACCAACATTCTGTTACCTTATCTCCTTTATTTCATTTTGAAAAGTGATAATTATTAAAAATATTTACAATCTAGAGGCCCAGTGCACGAATTCATGCATGGATGGGGTCCCTCGAGGTGGCCTGTGGGGATCGGGCCTTGGGGCGACCAGCGGGGCGATTGGGGGCCCCCGCTCACACCCTGCTTGGCCTGGCTCCACCAACTCACCTGCTCCACCACCCCGCCGCCGTCCCGCTCTCATTGGGGCCCATCAGGGCCAGCAGTGCCTCCACTGCTACCCATTGCCAGTGCCACATTGCTGATACCTGCCATGTTCTGCGCCACCCCCTGGTTGTCAGCGCATGTCTAACTCCCAGTTGGTCAAACTCCCACCCATGGGGACAATTTGCATATTTGCCTTTTATTATATAGGATACAGTTATTATTGAATCATTCCCTGCGTTTTATAAATTGAAACAACTTTTTAAACTCTACAAATTGAAAAAAGGAAAAGAAGAAGCTGAAGAATTTCTTTATCATCCAGTTTTAACTAAATTGCTCTCTAAAGCCAAAGAGCAAAATAGCAGTGACATTTTTATTTACACTTAACCTTTCATCTAAGAACATGTAATCTGTGACCATTACCCCAACTTTACCGTGAAGGCATAGAATTACAGAGATTGAACGGAAGTCAAGAGGTTATCTATATGAGCTTCTATCTCCAAGAATGACTGCATTTTAACAATCCAAGAGATAGGTCCATCTTCTCTATTTTTTAAAATCTCCAGGAAAGATGTTACAATCTGCCTTTGCAATTTGCTCTGGTGTGTAATATCCCTTGTTTTACTCATAATCCAAATCTGTGGATAAGAAAGAAATAAAACCTCGTTTCCCAGCTTCTCAGTAAAATGTTCTTACCCAATTGTGGTTCTAACACAATGATAAAAATAAGTAGGTGAGTGAAAAAGACACTACTCACCTGTTTCAAGCAATAATTATTTTAAAAATAATTTGGAATAACATAAGGATTTACACCTATCTTGATTTCATAATAATTTTTCCCATTAGTAAGAAAAATAATTTCTATTAGATGTGTATTTATTAATCGTAAATATAAAAGTGACAAATATTTATTGGGAACTGTCTGGGTGCCAGGCATTGTAGTCCATAAATAATATCACATTGAATCCTCATATCAAGTCTATGAAGTATTCCTTATTATTATCCCATTTTTTAGATGAAGAAATTGAAGCTCAGGGAAGGTTAGTTCTCCAAGGTCTCGTAGATAGTGAATAATGAAGAGAAAATTAAAACCTAGGCAGTTTTATTATATTTTAATATCCAATATATATTTAATAATATTATTATTGTTATTATTAAGCTGCTTTACAGTTAGTTGAAAATATCTGCAAAAAACATGTTTGGTTTTTTTTTTTTTTCAAATTTCCATTAGTTCCTCCATTTTTTTTTTTTAATATAAAAGATGATCTGGAAGGTATGAGCACTTTCTGAAAAACATGCATTTATGTAATAAGTAATACTTTAAAATTTGTTTTTTAAAGTTTGCTTGATTGTAACAGGATTTGAGTTAGGCCCATCAGATTTGCTTTTAAAAATGTATCTGGATACTTTAACTGAATCTTAGTTATTTTGTACTTTATTCTCTCGAGGACCAGGAGTGTTTCTAGGTCTTAATTCTATATTAAATGAAAAGGCGCAGATTTGAGTTTTGAAGCTAGGTTAGATTGGCTTCAATTTAAATATTCTATGAAATATTGTACTTAACTAGAATGTTTCACCAAATGTAAACATAACTTTTACTAGGTAAATTACCAACTATACTAGCCAAACAATTTCCTGAAATATTGTTTCTTTACCAAAGTAATTTATATTGTTAACACAATAAGCATACTTCTTGTTAAACAGCTGAATGTTTGCATGATATACAATGCCTTCTTAATATTTCATTTTTAGTTGACACTGATATTTACAAGGAAAAAACACACGCCATAAAAACTTTAAAATTTAATTTATACTTGACACAGAATTACCTTTTTCATTGTTTCCTTTCCCACTATAATCTCATGTCCATCTTGCCCCATGCCGTTCTTAAAGACCAGAATTCGGACTGAGGTCTTCCCAGTAAGTTTCTTCATTCTAGTAGAAAGAACAGGCTTGGTTTTCCGTCTCTTGACTTTAGTAGGAAGCATCAGCCCATTCATTGTCCAAGTTACTTTCTTCATTAACAACAGATGGTCTAGAAGAGAATTTTTTTAAAATCAATATTTGGCTTCAAAATTAAAAATGGACACATCATGATTCCCCTCCCCCTATTACCTATATCATATACACTGGCCAGTCTCCATTTAGATGCTGGTTTTTTGAAATGCTACCACCAGCTTCCCACTAACCGTGACATAAGCTGTAGCAAGCTGTCTGCTCTGATAGCCTGCATAAATCATCATTTCTGAAGGGAACAGATGTTCAGGGTATGAAAGAGTAATACCACAATTTAGTCCTAATTAAAATTCACCTTAGCATGCCTCTATCACTGATCAGATGCACTGGGCTGAAAGGGTCCAAGGTCCTTTGCTTACTATTCAACAACACGGGTCCTGAACTTTTGTATTCTTTAGGGTTGGGAAAACACAGTTTTTCTCCTTAATATGATTTATTATCCATGTTGCTTTAAAGATGATGACCTCCAAACAGTAACTTTATATGTAATTCTTCCCTTGTGACTAGAATGAAGGTGCCTTTTAGGACATTTTTGGTGAGAGATTCAAACTATTTCACTAAAAATGAAAACCAGTTTTGCATTAACAGTTTACTTTGACTTATACATTTTCAAAGATGTATGCAGAAATTTAAGTTTCAAAACTCCCACTAATATTAATGGGAGTGCAACTAAATTACTATGTATGGCTTTGAAAATATAAGAGTGAGAACAGTAGTATTGCATACTAAATTGTTGTCAGCATTCCTTTCTTTTCAAGAGGCTTCATTTCATAAATAAATAATTTTCACCTGAGTATTTTATTTGTGCAGTTTATTTTAGATAATGTTTTATTTTCACATAAATACAAAGGTGCAATGATCCCTCTTTTATCTGATCTTTATATGTCCTAATGAGAGAAACAAAATATATTTGCATGTAACTGAATATAGCTGCATTTGTTCGCCCACATTCCCAATTAACACTTCTCTATTGTCATTCACCTTGCAAACAGCATGGCCTCTTCGACCTAGAAGCAGTATTTTACAGAAAATCTACTAGTATTGATATAAAATATGAGCAAGTCATTATAAATAATCTTCCAAGTCCCAGAATGGCTACGTTAGATATTTAAAAAACAAAAACACTTTCTCTCTCTACCTCCTTCTTGATTTCTCTCTCAATATGTTTTTCTTTCTCTCATACACATACTCACACACACATACAGGCATACAGACATATCCCATAGGCAGAAATATGAGCAAACTTTCAGAATAAATTAAACTAAATTATAGATATGCTTAAGCCTTCAAGAAAACATATTTTTACAGAAAACGAATAGTATCTCTGAAAATAAAACTTAAAAATCTCTCACTGGGGAATAAAAGTTAATAAATTCTTGTAGTTTAATAGGAGCTTGCCCATAACCTGAATGCCTCCCAAATGCTTTGAACGGTGGAAAGGTTATAAGCCTTAACATTAGGTTTGAATCTCAGCTCTGTCACTTAGTGACCCTAGATGAGTTATCCCATCCTGCATCTCTGATTTCTCATCGACAGAGTATCTAGTGAGTACCATTCCACCACCTGATGAAGCTTAAATATGTTATAGGTTAAAGTACCTAACACATTGAAGTTACTTCGTACGTGCTTCTTCTTCCCCCATGTCCCTGAAATCCTATGCTTAGTATGGAGCATTACAGTATATTACGCATTACATCAGTCAGGATCCAACCAGGAAAACAGAATTTACCCGGAGCATTTGAGGCAAGGAGACTAACTGCAAAGAAGTGATTGCGTATGTGATGGAAAAGACCAAGAAGCAACCAATGGACAGTGAGGCAACCCCGAGGTTAGCAACAGCAAGCAACCAAGGCCAGAGGGAGGAGGTGATACAGGTACCCAGGTTTAAAGAATCTTGCCAATAAAGGGTTCCCCCCTTTGATTACTTAGAATAGAGGCAGGATTATAGTTTAGGCAAGTGAAGGGCCAAAAACGCAACATTTAAGAGTGCATACTGAGGGTGGTGCAAGGACACAGCCCTTAGAGTGAGCACCTCCTTAAATTCTGTCCCGTAGCTGCTTCTCTCTCATCCTGATCCCAGCCCTGGCTCTGACTATCTCTTTTATATGTAAAACTTCTTAAATTCCATCAAA